AGGGGCATCTGCAGAGGTAAGCGGCTCCCGCGGGAGAAAACCCCGGCCCCCGTAGCGCCGAAGTTTAGTAATTTCGCGTCCATGTATGGTTATGCTTTGTTGTTGGTAGCTTGGCAGAAAGGCACATGACTTCAGCAGTCTGGAATGCGATTCAGTATGTCTGGGCTGCGCTAAACGCGCATAAGGAAAAGTGATTCCTGACTAACTTATTGTTCTGGCCCCGCGTCTCCGGGGGATTGCAGGGAGCTCCGCCGTAAATTGAATTTAACAGACCAGCAAATACCTGTGCTTAAGCTGAGCGATTCCCACCGCTGACTCCCTCCTTTCCCTCTCTCTCGATTTCCACAGCACAGTCCGAGGGCAGACCGTGTGAATATAACTCCAAGATCTACCAGAACGGCGAAAGCTTCCAGCCGAACTGCAAACACCAGTGTACGTGCATAGATGGAGCTGTGGGCTGCATCCCGCTCTGCCCGCAGGAGCTCTCGCTTCCCAACCTGGGCTGTCCCAGCCCCAGGCTGGTCAAAGTCCCGGGGCAGTGCTGCGAAGAGTGGGTCTGCGATGAAAGCAAGGATGCGCTGGATGAGCTGCAAGGCTTCTTCAGCAAAGAGCTCGGTCTGGATGATTCCGAAGGCGAACTAACCAGGAACAATGAGCTAATCGCCATTGTGAAAGGAGGCCTGAAAATGCTACCTGGTGAGTGTGGGCTAATCTGTGTGACTGTTGGGGGGAGGAGGCGGGAGGATGGCTATGCGATTCCTTAGACCTCAGTGGCAAGAAGGAAACCCAGTGAGAGGATATGTTTAGGCTAAGCTCTTCTTTTCTTTTCCAGTTTTTGGATCCGAGCCACAAAGCCGAGCTTTTGAGAATCCCAAATGCATTGTGCAAACAACCTCCTGGTCCCAGTGCTCAAAGACATGTGGAACTGGCATCTCCACAAGAGTTACCAACGACAATGCCGACTGCAAGCTCATCAAAGAGACCAGGATATGTGAAGTGAGGCCATGTGGCCAGCCTAGCTATGCCTCCCTAAAGGTAAATACATACTCTTCTGGTGCTCCTCTTCTTTCCAAACTGCTTCGGGTAGAGGGTAAAGGCTAGAGAAGAATCTCCTCCTAATAATACTACTGCCTCTCCTTTACAGAAGGGAAAAAAATGTACCAAGACTAAGAAGTCCCCATCCCCAGTGAAGTTTACTTATGCCGGATGTTCCAGCGTGAAGAAGTACCGCCCCAAGTACTGTGGCTCCTGCGTGGATGGCAGGTGCTGCACGCCCCAGCAGACCAGGACTGGCAAGATCAGGTTCCGCTGTGATGATGGGGAAACCTTCACCAAGAGCGTCATGATGATCCAGTCCTGCCGATGCAATTACAACTGTCCGCATGCAAATGAAGCTTATCCCTACTACAGACTGGTCAATGACATTCACAAATTTAGGGACTAAGTTGTGTTGGGGGTGGGATGCTAAACAGAATTTTGAAGTAACCAGCCGTGGAGAAAGGACCTTTGATGGAAATGGTGCCTTGCCCATTTGAGGGCAACATTGAGATGTTACAAGAGTGCACTGTGCAACTGGACACTAAATGCAACAGAGATTTAAGCCTACTTAAAGCTTCATAGTACTGGAGCAACTTTACTGCTTCTTTTTGGAGCACCTTATCTAATAATATACTGTTTTCTGTTTGTAAGTGATCAGATAAATGTTTTGTTCTGGTTATGAAAACTTTTTTCTATCCTGTTCAATTTAACACTATGCTTCTCCCCCTCCCTCCATCTTCTCCCACCCTTTCCCAACCAAGTTGGAAGTTACATTCCTTCCTGAGGTGGGCACTTGTGGGGTGTTCACAGTGGCAGCTATTATGTACCAACTGTAGTTTAATGGCAAACAGAAATCAGTTGTTTTAAAGCTGAGTATTTTATTTATCAAACTGTAGCTCTCTTGTTTTTCTTTGAGTTTTTTGTTGTTGTTGTTTTTTGTTTTATTGTTTTTTTTTTTTTTACCCCTTCCAGCCCCTGTAATACTGGAATAAGTTGTAAATGATTTTAATTTTATATTCAATGAATTAAAAGAATTTATTTATGGAAGTAATCATTTAATAAAGAAATATTTACCTAACTCTTCTTAGTAGAGCATTCTGATAGGCAACAGACTTCAAGGCAGCAAATGCAAGCGCTTTTTGTGAAAACTTTGGAAAGCTTAGGTTCTCTGAAAATTAAAACAAGCTCTACTACAGATGCAGCAATGAACTAGAAAGCCGAGTCTAATTCTTTGGGTAAATGATGTTTTGAAGTGGTGTATGCAGTCTGCAACCCCATGCTCTAGAAAGTATATACAGAAAAAGCTGCTTGGCATTGAAAGCAAATGTTTGATAGAGAGACTGAAATGTTAATTAGACTGTCAGATTATTCAAACTGTCCTGGAATTTGCAACATAAGGCACTTCATTAGAATGCACTGCATGCATGGTGATGTTGAACATGGGGTAGAAGTGGTTGTCAGGTCTCACTTTTTTTGGTGGCTGCTTTTTGCAAATTAATACATTTCTGTGGCAGAAGAATGTTTCCTACAGTCTGCAGGAGGTAGTTTGCTTTCACTAAATTCAAATTAAATGAGCTTGAAGCAATGACTTTTGTTAATCCTAATAACCCAGTGATGAAAAGTAAACATACTGTTAACAGGAGAAGAATGTGAGGAATTTCAAGTACTTCTCCAATAGAGTAAAAGGCAAAGCAGCCGCTCTTTTCTCTTCCTCACCTCCCCTTCCCACTTTTTAAATATGTAATTAATTACACTTTATACTGTGGGACACAGATAACACTTGGCTAACTGAGGAAGTCATACGACAGCTAGCTGGCACATAGTAAGAAAATGACATTAAAAAAAATGAACTAGAGTAGGATCTGAGAAAGCATCAAACATCTGTGCTATGCTGGTTAGCATAAAGCTGCGCTACAGATAAGACTGAAAGGAAACCTGCAACAGGGTTTGTTTTTTTTTTTTTCCATTCTACTCTTTGTCACTGGGTAGCTCTCTAGCAAAATATCCTCCCATAGCCTTTAGTAAGAAAGTAACTTCTCATGAAAAATAGAGACTGATTTTGAAGTTTTAGAATTGTGAAGGGATGTCATAGTGTCATGTAGTTAGATGCAGAAGTGGTTGAGTCAACTTTTTACTAGATTAGACATAAATATTTCAATAAAATAAATAGCCAAATATCTCAGAAGCTCATCTCTGGCAGCTAATGCTTTGCCTGAGAAATTACAGCGTCTCTCTTCTGCTCAGTCAAGTTCTCTCCCCGAAGGCATTCAAAGCTTGAGCTGTTTTGGAATTCACCACCTGGCCACCAGCCTCAGCTGTACCTAAACTTGTCTGTACAGTATTTGTTGACAGTAGAAGTGTAAAATGCGGTGAAGCACTTTTGTTTGGCTTCTGCTTACATCTCACGCTCAATGTGTCACTGCCTCAGCAGGCTTCCACACTGGGTTACTGCACAGTGTGAGGAAAAGGAACACACTGCTCACAGGCACACAAAAGCTGCCCGTGCATTCCTCGCCATCCCCACTGTCACTTGCACTCGAATGACACCCATCTTCAAACCAGCGTAAGTAACAGTTCCCCGAAACATTACATACACGTGTAACTATACTATACGTGTAGACTTTACGTCTGTAACATGCATACCATATACAAACAAAAGTGGCCCTTCCAACTCCTGCCTCAGGTGTGGCTCTAGCGAGGCCCTGGATTTTACAACTTGCACTTTGGGCTTTCCATGTTTCATCCAGTGCAGCAGTGGTTCTGTAATCTGCTCACTAGAAAAATGTACCGTTGGGAAAATTAGGGTTGCAAGAGAAGATCACGCAAGCATAAGAGTAAAATATACTAAATGAAATTATCCTCCTATAAAGAGAGGGGATGAACCCCACTGAAATGAACCGCAAGTCTTCCAGAGCTGGGATCTCACACCAACTGATCATCATCCCTATAGTCCTCTCTTCACTTGTTGCATTTCACAATTACATGGCAAAACTACTAAACCCCACAATTCCCAATACCGTAAAAGAAATCGGTGTCATTTTTTGTGTATCGTCTTTGCACTTGCTTTGAAATCTTTATACCCTCTGTTGTTCCAGCAGAAAAAAACCTTAAATATTAGGCATGAAAATCTAACAGATAAAACCACATGTTCCTTTAAGTGTAATCAGCAGAGCTTACAGGTAAGGTTAATGAGCACAACTGTAACTTTACTTCTCGGTCAAAAACTAAAGTATCAGTATTCTTCAAGATGAATACTACAAGATGAGGAGTTAGTTAGGAACGTAATAAATAACGTACGCTACAAGCAGCAGTAAGTGTTCAGCACGTTTCAGCGTGAGGCCATCAAGCAGCTCAAACCCTGAAAATAAAGCCACGGGCACCGTGCGGAGCTCCTCTAAGCCGGGCAGACACCAGGCTGCGGCACCGTCCCCTCGGCAGCAGCCCCTGCTTCAGCCGCCCCACCTCCCCCTGCTCACGTCTGCCCCCGGTCCTTGGGCCCTGCATGTTTAAGCCGCTCCGATCTGTCCCGCAAGCCCTCCAACCAGCGCTGCTGGTGCAAGTGCTGGGGTCACCCGGGGATGGAGCGCGGTGGCACGGGGCGGCGTGCTGAACCTGGTGCTGCCGCCAAAAGGAGCATTTGTCAAAGTACAGTTTAGGACCGAAGGAATGTGTGGTCTTGTATGCAATACACTTGTTTACAAGGGTTTGATGCGGTAACCACCGTATCAGGGTTACAGAGAAAATCTTCCCTACTAATGATGGCAACACAGTGAAGACAAAGTTTCTGCTTCCTTAAATGCTGCATCACAGGAAACAAAATAAAAGCAGAGGAGTATGCAGAAAATAGACTTCCATGATTACATTAAACCCTCTCTGGTGCCGTGCTGCTAGCTTGCTCTCCTGAATGAGCAGCAGGTGGAGGAAAAGCCAACATCTTACTGACAGCAGGACAGCCAGGCTATTAATTAACCCTCGCTGAGCTGAGCCATGAGAACCTCCATACTCCACATATAAATTACTGCAGAGCCCCCAGCAAAGCAGTCCCCACTGGGCTGCCTGACCCTCCGGTGGACACCTTCTAGGAATCGGGCCCATCTCCCCACTACTGGTGGGAAGCCCAGGCGGCACGTGGGCTGCGCGGGAACAGGCAGAGACATTGCGGATCGGTGGGATTGCTGCGGGAGCGTTTCCCGTGCTCACAGTCCACTGAAGCTGTGTGAATCCCCCCATGCTCCAGCCAGGGAGCTCTGCCACAGATTCGGGTATTCAGGAGACCTTCTGAGCTACAGCTGCATGGGTCTTGAGGACTGAAACAAGAAGGTTTGCATTGGGCAGTCACTCAGGGTTGGAAGTCAAACCTACCTAACACAGAATCAGTTAATGTATCACACCAGAGGCTTGCTCTTGCCAGATGCTGGCCCTTCTGAGCTTATCCTGAAGAGCAGCACTTCAATGCATGTGCACATTTTAGTTTCCTCCTGTTTAATCAGTGGAACTGTTTCCATGCAGTGCCCAGAGTGCTCGGCACACAGCAGGGGAAGGCTGTGTAGTTTTACTAGCTGCTCTGCCTCAAGCCTGTTTTTTCATGTAGACATGTCCCTGGCTTCATCTTCACAATTTTTTTCTCCACGCTACATAGCCATGTGTAAAATAGCACATAGAAACATGGAGGTGCCATGGTGAAAGCAGTAACATAAAACTAGCTTTGGAGATGCCTATAAATACATTTCAGCTCATGAACAACTGAACAGCATTGAACTGCAGTGAGACTTGGTGTCTAGAAAATATAAAAGAACACTTCAACCAACAAAATGATACAGTAAGTATCTGCGTCTATACCCTGTAAAGGCCAAACACCAAGAAACTGAATAGGTGGTATCCAGTATGCTATGATTTTTTCCTCCCCCAGAAAAACTGCAGAGCTATGACTTCTACATACACAATTTATATTGGAGAAGATCCTGCAAGACCTCAAGGCACCACTCACATAAGCAACTTCATCTGTCTTGAAGTACACTTACGGGCTGGAATGTAGCAACCGTCCAGGAGGAAAAGATTACACAAGACTTTGTAAGGTTTTTGTTTACTAGACAGAAGAAATCTAAAAGGTAGGGTGCACAAATTTGCCCAGATGGGAATCTAGCTAGGACACGCTAACAACTTGACCTCATACTGAACACAGTTTCAGTAAGAATGAAGGGACCCCATTACAGATACCAGTTGAACAGTCAGCAGTGTAGTCCAGCAATATTTTGAGAACACTGGTTGAACACCAGATCAAAAGGAGCCCAGTAGATCATCTGAGTCAATGACACCAGTTTCTCAGAAGCCTCTCATTTCCTTGAGCATCTCAAACCAAGCAGGTTAGATCCTTATTAGCTCATGAATTTGACAAAATCAGACATCAAGACATCACGGCTGTAAAACCAGGGAGTCTATTAATGAGAACTTACACCAGGAAAATATATTTTACTCTACAGAAGCAGATACTCGCCTGTGTACAGTAAAAGATTGCAGTGGAAGAACCCCATTAAAACTAATATGGAAGTACAAGCACAGCTGAAAGCAGAGGTTGGGAAAAAAGGTCAACAAAGAAATACCACTGAGAGTTTAGATGTGGAAGTGATGGGGACTTCTCAGGCAAGCTTTTAAGGCCACCCCTGGCTGCTCTTTTTCCTGAATGCCAATACCTTACCCACCAACTTAATTTTTACCTCACTTGGACATATCTCTACTCCCTGTTGGCACTATTGACAAAATGGACAAGTTCTGCGGCTACAATTTGATTCAGTTGAAAACCTGGAAGCAAGGAGTAGAAAGGCAATAGGCAGCTTTCACAGTCACTTCTTCCTCCTTCTTCAGGCAGAACTGGGATGATAGGAAAAAAGTA